ATCTAGGCATAGCTTAAAGAGGGGAAATAATTCTAAAATGCTTGACTGTCTTATGAATATTGGTTTCCCTTGCCTACTGTTGTAAAATAGACACTTGAATGGGATAGAAAGGAATGCTGGGAAACATGATTACAGAAAACTTGTAAGCCCATCTTCACCCTATAACTGATTGGAATACCTAAAAGGGATTCTAGAACTTGCCCAGTGAAATAGGCCTCTTGCAAAGCCTTTGCAGAGTATAGGACCTTAGGTGGAATCCTAAGTCCCATCCAGAAACTTATGAGGTGAGCTATTCCCACTAGCAAGGACAAGCAGACCAGACTGGAACAGCTACAGTGACAGAAGATACATCTTCAAAGAAAGATCATCAGGAAAAACCCGAAACAAAGATGTCAGCATGACTAGCTATTACAAGAAGAAGCAAGCTGTTTGCCAGGAAGCCATCAAGGCAAGCAATCAAGTCCTTCAGGACAAACTCCCCTCTAAGACTGAGACTCAAAGGGAACACACAAACAGGCATGTAGGCTTGCTGGTGACCACATTTGTCTACTGGTGAGTGGAAGAGGGGGAAAGGCAGCAATGACGAAATGGGTTGAGTTCAACCACAGTCCATTGACTCCTGTTGACCTGGAGATGAGAGAGAGAAGAGAAAAAGCTGGTTGCTCCAAAAGTGTGGTGAGACCATGGACAAGGACATAGCCACAGAGTGCTAGAGCTGAGAGTGAAGCATCCAACTGATATGAAGTGAGGGGAGATGCACAAGAACACCCAAAGTTGCAGACAGCACCCATTTGACCCAGCCTCGATGGATTGATAGTCAGAACTCAACTTGAGGAAGATTAAAAAAAAAAAAAAATTTTTTTTGATAAAGGAAACAAGGATAAATTGCTACAATTTGATGAACCTGACCTGACCTATACTCATGTTGGTAGTAACTCTAAATACCAACAGAGAAGGCAGGAGTCTTCACATCAAGTATCAATGCTATCCTCTCTGTACACAGGGTAGATAAGGACGGGCAACTTGGACATAGGCTACCTAATATGAGGAGGCGATAAAGGCACGAAGTGACTGACTTACAATGTTTCAAGAAGGAGTTTAGTTCAAGAGTATGGGGGCTATATAGAGAGCTCTGGTAGTGTAGTGGTTACAAATGGGGCTGCGAACCTCATGGTCAGTGGTTCAGGACTGCCAGCTCTTCCATGGGAGAAAGATGAGGCTTTCTACTCCCGTGAATTAAAAAAAAGAGTATGGGGGCAAAGAAAGAGTCCCCACTGAATAGATTTCATCTTATCTAGATGGGTTGTGTGCTGGCAGCCGGGGGGCAGGAGTGTAGGGTGTACCCTTTGGGTGTTTGATGATGCATGCAGGGGATTGTGATCATTGCAATGAAACAAAGTGCGATAAGGTGAATGTAAAGACAATGTTCACCCATGTAAACTAACACATAATTCACAATAAAAACCTAAAAATAAAAAGTTAGGCTCCTATATCTGGTCAAACATATACTTAACTCACTCCTAATGTGATGGCTAGAACTGCAGTTGCTCTGGCATAGCCAGACCACATGATTTCATAGACCTTAATCTGCCAGCAGGCCAGGGATTCTCCACCTGACATATGGGTGCCAAAGTGGGTTAAGGAAAGCATCTTCATAAACAGGTAGCCTGGCACAGGGTGGTAGAACCTATACAGGGTAAGGATATCGACATGGAGGAGACACCTGGTACAGGGTGTCAGAGCCCCAGAAGGATGAAGAAGGCACCTCCATGGATGTGCAGCCCAGCCTGGTAAGGCGTGTATCCACAAAGCAAGGTGGCCTGGAACAGCCAGGCACAAAGGACAGCCCAACCAAGAAGCAGCCTAGCACAGACTGTGAAAGCCTAAGCAGGGTGAAAAGGTACCCAAGTAGGAAGTTGGAGCCTAAATGTAGGCGGGCCGCCTAAAGAAACATGGTGGAGCACAAACATGGTGGAGAGAGCATTTGTAAGGAAACACAGCCTGACAGAGAATGCTGAAACCTGAGCAGAGTGAAGACAGCTTCTACACAGGGAGGTGACCTAGAGCGTGGAGTCAGAGCCCAAGCAGGATGAGGAGGCCTCCACAGAGGAAGGCAGGATAGAAGGACACCTACCTGATGGGAGGCTCACATGCTAGAGCCTAAGAAGGATAGGTGAGCGTCCAGAGGGTGGGAGGCAGAGCAGGAAGTTGGAGCTGGAGCAAACTGAGAAAGGACCCACAGAGAGGGTTGGCCTGGCATGGGGGTTTTAAGTCCCAGCATAGTAGGAAGGTTCTGCACAGTGAAACAGCCTAACATGGAATGACAGAGCAAAGGAGGGCAAGGGGGTTACTCACATCAGGAAGAGAGTATCGGGAGACTGCATACTGGGAAACTGACCAAGTAAATATAATAATGACAGACTTCTCACTATTAGAGAAGGGAGTTATAAACATGGAAAAGGAAGAAAGCTAGAATAAACTGCAGTGTTAGACTGAAATTGAATACACACACATAAACGCATCTTAGTTCTATCAATAGAGCCTTTAGAGCAGCAATAAGTCCACCTTGTGCCCAAATCTTAATTTGTATATGTTGTTGCTGTTAAGTTCTGTTGAGTCAGTTCCAATTCATAGCAAGCCTGTATAGGGTTTCCAAGAAGAAGCTGGAAAATTTGAACTATCAACCTTGAGGTCAAGTGCATTATTTCACAGTACCACATTCCTAAATAAAATAAACCAGGGCTCCTTGATGAAATGGTTACTTCCAGTCAGGGTCAGGGAAAACACCAAAGAGCTAGTTATTGGTTTCTATGTACCATTCGGCACTGAAAGAAACCAAGGTTCTTGGTGAAATAGTTGATTTTAGGCTGGGCCAGGAAAATTGGCTACTATTCAAAGAATATATAGACATGTCAGAAAGAAAACAAGAACTAGCTTGAATGGAAAAGCAGTAGCCAAATTTGGGGCAATTTCTGCATCAAAATAAATAATAATGAAATGTAGCCTATTGAATGAAACAGAAAGTCATAAATTCATACTGAAAAATAAATGAGTAGACAGAAAGTTTGATGAGAACAGGTATTTACAAGTATCACCCCATAAAATACTTGTGTGGTACTATGTAAGTAATTGGACTACAAGGTCAGTTTGAACTGAAAAGTCGACAGTTCAAACTCACCAGCCACTCTTCGGAAACCCTACACAGGTCTATGAGTTGGAACCAACTTCCTGATATTTAACAACTTAACAACAAAGTTGTTAAATTGTTAAGTGCCACCGAGTACCTCCCCATAAAATACTTATTACAAAGGAAAAAGGTAGCTTTACAAAATAAAGGTAGCAGAAACATCTTTAAATGATCAACTTCATTAGTAACAGGATTAGTAACAGGGCTTCAAACCAGTTCAACCAGATCACTCATGGTCAACAAAGGGAAATCTGAACAGACCCCAATTTTTTTGGGGGGTGAAACAGACCAATAAGTACACAGGAAAAATTATGGGTGTAAGTCCTAGACTGGGAGACCTGAAATAGACAGTGTTGGGCCCTTTCAGCAGCCTAAAGAAGAAGAAGAAGTTATTGTGAGGATAAATTATTGCTACGATTTTTAAACCAGGCACCACTGTTCCTGACTTTGACTGTCCATAGATTTGGTTTCTATGCAATGTACATGCTATTCTTATTTCCTAAGAGGGAGATTCTGTTTCTAGTAGGGTGTTACCCTGTTGTTTTTCCCACTTAGGCTACTGTTCTGGCTTACCCACATTTCACAAATTTGGGTCAGTTACAGTTTCACTTCATCAGCCACAAATGAACTAGGAAAAACCATTCAAAGTCCTGGAAAAATCAGAATCATATGTCACCTTACATATTGCCAAAAGAAGAATGCAGTATCACTTCTGGGCTATTCCTGACAACACTGCATAAACTGAATCTAATTATTAGGCAACATTCAGACAAAACCAAGTTGAAAGACATGCTCAAAATAACTGGTCTATAATCTTCAGAAGTGTCAAAGTCATGAAAGCCAAGAAAGACATCAGAAACTGTTCCAGCCTGAAGAAGACTGAGGAGACATAACTAAATACAACAGGATATTCTGGAGTAGATTCTTTTAGTATAAAGGACATAACAAGGATAATCAACAAACTCTGACTGGAGTCTGAGAATTTGAGAGTAACAATGTACCAATGTTTATTTCCTGGTTTTGATGGCCATACTGTGGTTCTATAGGAGAATGTTCTTGTTTGTAGTAAAAGCATACTACAGTATTTCAGGGTCATGGTTCATCAGGTTGACAACTTACTCTCAAAGAGTTTAAGAAAAAAGAAGTCTTCATCTTGTATTTACAGCGTTTCTATATATCTAAATTGTTACAAAATGAAAAAAATCTTGAAAAATAACCCATCAAAAAACAGAAACAAAATAAGTTTTAACAAGTACTTTTAAACCAAGGACCCTAAATTCATCAGGGGCTAACTAACTCTTCAAGAAGCCTGGATAGCTTATTGGTTAAGCACTCAGCTACTAATCGAACAGTGGTTTGAACTCACAGTTGCTCCGTGGGAGAAAGATGTGGCAGATTGCTTCGTAAAGATGATGGCACTGGAAGCCCTATATGGGGCAGTCCAACTGTGTCCTCTAGGGTCACTATGAGTCAGAATTGACTCAAGGGCAACAGGTTTGATTTTGGTTTAACTACCTCCTCACATTTGAAAATAAACCCATGTGGATAGCTAAAAGATTGAGAACATTTGACAAAGAAAAAACAATCTCATTTTCTATAGCATGGTGGCTCCTCAAGCTTTGCTCATAATAAAACTACCCAAATTCAAAGTCAACTTCCATTGACAGACAGATTCCAAAACTTTACTCTGCCACTTTTTTCAGTTCCAACTGTGATATAAATTAGATGTGTTCTGACCTAAGTCTGTCTGCAGATAGTCAAAGCTTCCCCCACACCCCCGTCATGTTGGCCACAGTAAAATCAGTCAACTAACCTCAAATGGGTTCAAATTGAAGTAAGAGGAACCAGGACGGGTCAATCTTTCAATTTGATTTTTGGATGTTAGAACTGAATCTCTCTTCTCTATTTGTTTCACCTAAAATAAAAGGGATAAAAATTTCATTAGTAAAGTTTAATAATAAGCTCTGAATTGTTACAACATGTTACCATTCAAATGTTCAGCAAATATATGTGTGTTTAGAAAGTACAAAATATTTTGCTAACCACATTGGGGAATAATTAAAACAGGTATCATTAAATGTTAATGATGTAATAAGAACTTTACAGGTAATTGCATAGAAGATGATTGAAAATATTATGGCTTAGGTCAGGTGTATCTTTGTCCTAAAACTGATAACTTTGCTCTTGAACTCTTTAGAGGTCTTGTTAGTGGATCTGTCTAATGTAATTTGTCATTTGATTTCTTGACTGCTGCTTCCATGAGTGTTCACTGTGGATCCATGCAATTGAAAGCACAGTGAAGTATTCTGGAATACCCATTTTTCACAATGTTATCCATAACTTGGCATGATTCACACAGTCAAAAGCCTTTGTATAGTCAATAAAGCACAAGTAATCATAAAAAAAAAAAAAAAAGAATTTTACATATATTTATTTTTCTCAATAAGTTTCAATAAACAAGGTTGTTGTTGTTAGATGCCATCGAGTCGGTACTGACTCATAGCGACCTTATGCACAGCAGAAACACTGCCCAATCCTGGGCCAACCTCACTACTGTTGCCATGCTTGAGCCCACTGATGCTGCCACCCTGCCAATCCATCTCGCTGGGGGTCTTCCTCTGACCCTTTTTCTGACCCTCCACCCTACCAAACATGATATCCTTTGCCAGTGACTGGTCCCTCCTGACAATAAGCAAAGTAGACACTAATATTAATCCTATTTTGCAGAGAAGAAAATGGAAAATTAGAAAGGTTAAATGATAACTTAGTTATCTTGTACTGCTAACAGAAACACCACAAGTAGATGTATTTAACAAACAGAAATTTATTCTCTCACAGTTTAGGAGGCTAGAAGTCCAAATCCATAGTGTGGACTCTAGAGAAAGGTCTTTTCCTGCATTCAGCATCTGTAGGCCAGCATTCCTTGAAGATCTCCATGTGTCATGGCATCAATCTTGCCCTGGATCTAGGAGCCTCACAGTGCCCATAGAGCCATGCCTCAACTGTACCCTACTGAAGCTCCATCCACTGGGCAAGAGCCATTATCACCTCCTCTATCAAATGATCAATGATAGACATAAGCCAGCACCAGCCAAACCCACACTAAAGTGCATGAACAGCGAATGGAGGAATGTGTACATGCTTCCATTCTCTAAATATACCACAATGTCCCAGAGACAACAGACAATTTTAATTCACACCAAAAAATGAGAGAATGACTCAAACAAATGACCAAGATGCAAAGCCAGATAACATTTCTGAGGAAGAAAAGGTAATGGAACTAACTGAAAAAGAATTCAAAAGTATGCTATTTAGGTACCTTCAAAGGGTTGGCAGGAAGATCAAGGAAAGCAAGGAGAACACAAGGAAAAAAACTAGAAAATTTCATGGAAAACACTACATGAAAAAAAAACACACAAAATAAATGCAATTTTTGAAACCATACAAAACCTGCAATTAGAAATCCAGAAGATTAATACTAAGATTTCAGAAATGGACACTACATTGAAAGGGCAAGCAGATGTAAAGCAACAGAAACCCAAATCAGTGAGTTCCAAGATAAATCTCTCAATACTAGCCATGCTAGAAGAATAATCAGGAAAAATCCAAAGAAAGTGTAAGAGTTATGTGGGACACCATGAAGAGAAATAGCTTATGGATGATTGGAATTCCAGAATAGGAAAAGACAATAAAAAACACAGAGAAAATTGTCAAAAAGTTGAAGAAAACTCTCTTAAACTCATGAAAGATGAAAAGCACACAAGAGGCTGAAAAAAACCCCAAAAAGAATAGATCCTCAGAGAAAGCTACTAAGACATATCAACCTTTTCAAAACCAAAGACACAGAAAGAATCTTGAGAGCAGCTCGGGAGAAACAAAAAGGTGAACCAATAGCACTAAGCTCTGCTGATTTCTCAGCAGAAATCATGCACACAGGAAGGCTATGGGATAACAAAGAAGGCACAAGGGTGACAAAGAAAACAACTGCCAGCCAATAATCATAGACCCAGTAAGGCTGGCACTCAAATACAACAGTGAAATCAGGGCATTTCCAGATAAGTAGAAATTAACGGAATTTGCAATAACCAGACGATCTTTCCACCACTTGTCTGTCAGTTTGTCTACTGTGGCAGCTGTGAGTTGCTGTGATTCTGAAAGCTATGCCAAGGGTATTTTAAATATCAGCAGGATCACCCATAGTGGACCAGTTTCAGATGAGCTTCCAGAAGAAGACAGACTAGGAAGGAGTGAAGAACTACTTCCAAATATTTAGTCACTGAAAGCCTTATGAATAGCAGAGAAACACTGTCAGATATATAGTGCTGGAAAATGAGCCCCTCAGGTTGGAAGGCACTCAAAATGCAATTGGGGTAGAGCTGCCTCCTCAAAATAGAGTTGATATCATATTTGGTAAGGTGGAGGATCAGAGAAAAAGAGGAAGACCCCCCAGTGAGATGTATTGGCAAAATGGTAGCATCAATGGTCTCAAGCGTGGCAACTATTGTGAGGTTGGCCCAGGATCAGGCAGTGTTTCGTTCTTCTGTGCACAGGGTCGCTATGAGTCGGTACTGACTCAATAGCACCTAACAACAACAATAACAGACGAATTTTACAAAAAATACTAAAGAATTTTCTTTGGACTGAGAAATAACAACGGCAGACAGTAACCCAAGATTAACATACATGACAACACCACCTAGAACTTAATTCAGATATGTTGTTGTTGTTAAGTGCTGTCAAGTTAGTTCTGACCCATAGAGACCCTGTACAGGGTTTCCAAGGAGCAGCTGGTGAGTTTGAACCACTGACCTTGTAGTTCACAGTGCTGATCTTGTAGGAGTCACACTAAGAGTCAGGTTTAGAGGTTAGGATTTACAACACATATTTTTGGATGAAACAAACCCATCTATATACCACCACCCTTATTCCTATGGCTGAAAAGAGGTTGGTTAGATTGTCAGTAACATAAAAAGTCATTCCTCCTTTGTGTCTTTATGCTTTGTTTCTAAAACAGCATAACCACTACACCCCCACCCCGGGACGTATGTCTCCTCATAGTGCACATCACTATCTGATACTGTATTATAAAGGAGCCTGGTGGATCTCTGTAGGATAAGCACTGGACTGCTAATCACAATGTCCGCAGTTCAAACCCACCAGGTGCTCCCTGGGAGAATGATGAGGCTTTCTGATCCTATAAAGATTTACAGCCTTGGAAACCCTATACAGGGTCACTACGACTTGGAATAAACTCAATGGCAATTGTTCTGGTAGGGTACTATATTGTACAGGCATGCATAACTTGGGCAATGTCCAGGGCCTGAGGTCCTATGAGATTTTTTTTTGAAAAAAGGAAAGCAGCTCCTTTAATTATTTCCCTCTGTGGCACTGGGGGTTAATGTGCTGGACTGCAAAGTCGTTTGAACAGCACTGCTAGGAAACCCTATACAGGGTCACTATGGTTCAGAACCAACTCGATGGCACTTAAAAACAACAGTAGTTTTGAAAAAGAAGCTCTGGTAGCCTAGTAGTTATGAGTCGGACTGCTAATCGCAAGATCAGCAGTTCAAAACTACCAGCTGTTCCATGTGAGAAAGATGAGGCTTTCTGCTCCCATAAAGATTTATAGCCTCAGAAAACCTCTACAGGGTCGCTATGAGTCGGAACTGACTTCACGGCACATAACCACCATCACCACCAATGATTTTAAAGGACTTCTGGTGTTGTGCTGTGGGATAATGCACTGGACCGCAAAGTCAAGTTGAACTGCAGGGTCGATTTGAACTGCAAGGTCAACAGTTCAAATTCAGCAGCTGCTCCTTGGAAATACAGGGTCACTATTAGTTGGAACCAATTCAACAGCACTTGACAACCACAACAACAATGGTTTTTAGGACTCCTGGTGTAGCGCTGTGGATGATCACTGGACTGCAAACCACAAGATTGACAGTTCAAACCTACCAGTTGCTCCTCAGAAACCCTAAACAGAGTCGCTATGAGTCATCATAACTCAACAACAGTTAACAATGATTTTAAAGACACCCAAACCCAGACTCCTGAAGCACTAGACCTCAGACAGGATACAGGCAGGTAAAGAAGAAAACATGGCTCTCTCAGGCGTTGTCTGACAGACAGGCTGTAGGGCTGCAGGGGGCCTGGTCTGCTCCTACTGCTCAGGAGGGTGGAACAGCAGATATGGCTGGGCATACTCTGAGCTCTCTCCAGGCTCATTTCCTCTCCCACTGCCACCCTCTCATCCTCTGGCCTTCATCCAGCAGCAGAGGCAGCAGCCGTGTGACCTGAAGCATGTTCCCATAAGGTTTTAATATGTTAAGCAAAGCTGTCTTGTCTGTTTACTGTTTATCCTCCTCTATGGAACGCAAGCTCTATAAAACAAGCATTTTTCTCTTTTTTTTGCCACCATACCTTTAGCACCTGAACAGTATCTAATGCATGTCAGATGTGCAATAAACATTGGTTGAATAATACTTGAAGTGTCTTCCCTTAGGTACTTTCTCCCATCCAATTCACACAAAACAGGGTTACAATTTTTTTAATTTTTTTCCTTAAGAGATGGTAAGTGTGACAAGTTTACTATAATTGCTGAGAAGTCGTTGTTGTTGTTAAGTGCCGTCAAGTCGATTCTGACCCATAGCGACCCTGTACATAGTTTCCAAGGAGCAACCGGTGAGCTTGAACCACCGACCTTGTAGTTCAAACGGCTTTGCAGTCTGGCGCATTAACCCACAGCACCATACCAGGCGAAGTCATCAGAGGCCAATAAACGTTAACACCAAGGCATTAACACTTTTAAGTGAATCAAGCATTTTTTTAAAGGCAGACTTTAGAGAATGTGTTCATTTCCATTTAAAAATGTCCTATTGTGAAATAGACACCTGGGGGTGGGAGGGATTGCCAGAAATATCACAACAGAAAACATGTAAGCCCGTCTTCAGCCTATAAATGACTGGAATACCTTGAGGGGGGCTGGAAACTGCCCAGACCCAAAATGGGGGTGGGACCTATAAAGGCAAGAAGTGACTGGCTTGCAAGCTTTCAAGAGGGAGCCTAGTTCCAGGCAGGGCAGGGGTAGGCAGAACCTCCACTGAATGATTTCCAATCTGTTGGGACCCGGCTGATGAAAGGAAAGGGATATAAGACTCTTGTGGTACAACAGTGAATATCTACCATCAGGACTGACTGTGAGGGTAGGAAATGTACAGGCAGATTTTTTTTTTTTCTTCTTGTCTTTGGCAAAAGGAGGAGAGCGATGTATTTTGCAGCCCAGGAATAGAGTTCCCTGGGACCATCAAGAGAGAAGAGCAGAAAGTGTGACCCTACCGAGAGAGGCAGTGAGGCCAGGCATGGAGACAGAGATGATGGTGTGGACAGATGGAGTGGCTGGGGACACAGGACTCAAGAAGGGAGAGGAGCTGTTTGCTGACAGCCAGGGAGAGCAGGCCTGTGAGGTGTATCCTCTGGTTACTTGATGATGAATGGAGGGGACTGTAATCATTGCAATGAAATGAAATACAATAGGATAAATGTGAAGCTGAAATGGGACAAAGGTAAATAATGATGTATATACAACCTTGGAACAACAGGGCTCTGGGATACAGAGATTGAGACATGGTTGGAATGGGGAAAGGGGGTGGGAAATAATATTAAGAAGCTTGGCTGTCTTTTGAATCTAGGTTTCCCTGGCATACCACTATAAAATAGACACTGGAGGGGGAGAGAAAGGAATAGCCAGCAATATCACCATAGAACACCTGTAAGTCCATCCTCTGCCTTTAACTGATTAGAATGCCTAAAATGGGGCTACAACGTGCCCAGTGAAGGAGGCTTCCTGTGGAACCTCTGCATTACATAAAACCATAGGTGGAATCCGGAACAGCATCCAGAATCTTCTGAGGGGAAATTTCCACTTGAAAGCACAAGCAGACCAGCCTGGAGCGGCCAGAAGAACAGAAGATACTTCTTGAAAGAAAGACCTACAGGAAAAATACAAAACAATATAGGAAGATCAACTGATTACTATAAGAATAAACAAGTGGCTTGCCCAGGAGACATCAAGGCAAATGGTTGGGTCCCCCCTCAAGGCAAACCTCCTTCTAAGACTAAGACTCAATGGGAATACACACTCTGATTGGTGACAACGTCTGTCACTGATAAGGGGAAGTGCGGGAAAAGCAGCCATGAAGCTGCGAACTAAGCCCTACAACACTCAATAGACTCCTGTGAACCCTGCTGGAGACCTGGTTGGCCAGTAGTGTGGCAAGTCCGGGGAACTCTTGGACCCAAAGTCAGTGACATAGCCACAGAGGACTAGAGTGGAGAGTGAAGCAGCCAGCTGATAAGAAGAGAGGGCACATGCATAAATACGCCCACACTTGCAGATAACACCCACTTGTCCTGGCTTCAATGACTGATCAGAGCTCAACTAGAAGAAGAAAGAAGAAGGAAAAAAGAATAATCTGATACAATTTGATGAACTTGACCTACACCTATGGAAGCAGTAGCTCAAAAGAGGGAACAAATCTTCACAGCGAGGATCATTCCCACCCTGCCTCCACACACGGAGAGGACAGGGATGGACAACTTGGACATTGGCTACCTAGAATAGGGGCTACAGACACAAGAAGTGATTGGCTGAATCTTCAGATATGGGAAATTTCCACTTGAAAGGATGGGCAGAGCAGCCTGGAGTGGCTAGAACAGAAGATACTTCTTGAAAGAAAAACTGACAGGAAAAATACAAAATAATATAGGCAGACTGACTGATTACTACAAGAACAAGCAAGCTGCTTGCCCAGGAGACATCAAGGTAAGTGGTGGGGTCCCCTCAGAGCAAACCCCTTCCAAGACTAAGACTCAATGGGAATACACGCTCTGATTGGTGACCACGTTGGTCACCGATAAGGGGAAGTGAGGGAAAAACAGCAATGAAGCTGCAAGCTAAATCCTACAACATTCAATAGACTCCTGTGAACCCGGGTGGAGACCTAGTTGGCCAGCAGTGTGGCAAGACCTGGGGACTCTTGGGCCCAGAGTCAGTAACATAGCCACAGAGGACTAGAGTGGAGAGTGAAGCATCCAGCTGATAAGAGAGGGCATATGCACAAGAACACCCACACTCGCAGATAATGCTCCCTTGACCAGGCTTCGATGACTGGATGATCGGAGCTCAACTAGAAGAAAGAAGAGGAAAAAAAGAGTAATCTGATACAATTTGATGAACTTGACCTACACCTATGGATGCAGTAGCTCAAAAGAGGGAACAAATCTTTACGAAAAGGATCATTCCCACCTCCTCCATACACAGAGTAGACAGGAATGGGCAACTTGGACATTGGCTACCCAAAGTGGGGAGCTACAAAGGCAAGAAGTGACTGGCTTACAAACTTTCAAGAGGGAACCTAGATCCAGAGGGTATGGAGGAAGGTAGAATCTCCACTGAGTAGCGGGGCTGATGAAAGGAAATGCAGACAGGTCTCTTCTGACACAATAGTGAATAATTGTTATCAGCAGTGATTGTGAGGGTTGGAAATGTAAAGGTAGATGTTTTGTAGCGGGGCTGATGAAATGAAACGCAGATAGGTCTCTTCTGACACAACAGTGAAGAATAACTGTTACCAGCAGTGATTGTGAGGGTTGGAAATGTAAAGGTGGCCATTTTGTAGCAAGGAGGGGAGTGATTAACTTTGCAATCTAGGAGTGGAGGTCCCTGGAACCATCAAGGGAGAAGAACGGAGAGCGGGACCCTACCCAGAGAAGCAGTGATGCCTGAGATGAAGGCAGAGACGATGACGTGGAGAGATGGAGCAGCTGAGGACTTTCGAACCAGAGAGGGAGAGGATCTGTGTGCCGACGACCGGCAGGGGGCAGGCTTGTAGAGTATACCCTTAGGTTGGTTGATGATGCATGGAGGGGATTGTAACCATGGCAATGAAACAATATATAAGATGAATGTAAAACTAATGTTCTCCCATGTAAACTATCACATAATTCACAATAAAACATTTAAAAAAAAAAAAAGTGACTGGCTTACAAGCTTTCAAGAGGGAGCCTAGATCCAGAGGGCGTAGAGGAAGGTAGTATCCAATCTATCTTGGGGGGGGGGGGGGCTGATGAAAGTAGATGCAGATAGGTCTCTTGCAACACAATAGTGAATAATTGTTATCAGGACTGATTGTAAGGGTTGGAAATGTAAAGGTAGAGTTTTGTGGCAAAGGAGGGGAGTGATTAACTTTGCAGTCTAGGAGCAGAGGTCCCTGGGGCCCTCAAGGGAGAAGAACGGAGAACAGAACCCTCAGAGAAGCAGTGATGCCTGAGATAGAGGCAGAGACGATGAGTTGAGAGATGGAGCGGTTGGGGACTTTGGACCCAGAGAGAGGGAGAGGGGCTGTGTGCTGACGACCAGGGGGCAGGCTTGCAGGGTATACCTTTTGGTTGATGGATGATGCATGGAGGGGACTGTAACCATGGCAAGGAAACGATACAATGTGAGCTAATATCCTCCCATGTAAACTATCTATCACGTAATTCACAATAAAGCATTTAAAAAAAAAAATGTCCTAATGCTGTGGAGAACTTACTGTGTTAATATTGTTATAAATGCTAGAGATAAAGACGGATGTGACATGATTGCAACTTTCAGTTGTTGTTGTTAAGTACCGTGGAGTTGGTTCCGACTCATAGTGACCCTGTACTGAACGCCTCATCTTCCGCGGAACCGCTGGTAGTTTTGAACTGCTGACCTTGCAGTTGGCAGCCCGACTAAACTACCAGAGCACACAACTTAATTCCAACTTTTAATAGGGGTCCTGGAGTCCAAAAGTCTTGGAGTCCTGGTGTGGCGCTGTGGGTTAATGCGCCAGACTACAAAGCCGTTTGAACTACAAGGTTGGAGGTTCAAGCTCACCAGTTGCTTCTCGGAAACCCTATACAGGGTCGCTATCGGTCGGAACCAACTCGATGGCACTTGACAACCACAATATCTTAAGTCTTGTTTTAACTGAGAAAGATGTTTATGCTTTATATTTCACAAAACACTTCCTTAAGTATTGATTACTTTAATCCTCATAAAAATTCTAATATTAATTCGTTTTACAGTCATAGAAACCGATGATCTTCAAAATGCCTGGAAAGAATTCAATCCCAGTCAATTTAACTGGGATTGAAAGCTGCGCAAGAGTTCATTCCTAAAGTCCTCTGACTCCAAGCGGCTTGATTTTCTTTCACTCACTCATTCATTCATCTACACAGCAAATATTACTGTGCTTCTATTGTGTACTGGGAGGTGGCAATGAGATAAGAAACAAGACTAAAACCAAACTTACTGCTATCCTAACATGGCACTAAGCTGTTATCTGCTGTAAGACCCCGAACCAAAACTTTACCTCGGACTCATCATCTGTAAAATGGAGACAATACCTACCTGGCATCATAAACAGTATCTAGCGTTCGTGAATGGCAAGAATAACCACTAATTCAACTCATTACAGAATGCTGAGACGAGAGATCACTTTTATTTAGAACAAAAATGGGTGCCAAGACAGTTAAGTCACCCCCGGGAAGGCCCAAGCTCTATCGACCTTAACTTCTCGTACTTGGGGTACTCTGCGCGCGTCCAGGCACTTCATTTGCAGCACTTGCCTTCTCCCACCTTACGTCAGACCCGGTTCCCTCTTTCAAGGTCCCGGGATTCCTCAGCGGCTACCCCCAGTAGAAAATACGCACACACCCCTAGTCGCTTGCCGCCGCGAAGGCCGGACTGGAGAAACAGCTCAACGGTCCAGGCCAGGCGGCCCACTACCTTCATCAACAAAGAAAGTAGGCCCGGGAGCGGTCGCCGCGATTCCACTATACCTCGACCCCGAACTCACCTCACTATAGAAGGTCATAAACGCATCCTCTGTGCCGCCTCCGCCGCCCGAAGCCCCGCTCTCCCCAGAAGCCGCCATTTCCCTAGCCTAGCCGCTGCCTCACGTGGTTCTACGATTCTGACGCTCTAGCCCCGCCCCGCTTTGATACGACCCTTAAAGGGCTCGCGCCGCAGCTAGACCCAACTATCAGAGGGAGCCTTTTTTTTTTTTTTTTGAGTAAGTAACCATTTAAAAAAATAATAATTCCGAGGGCTTTTGTACATTCACAATATTGTGCAACCATCACTTCCATTTAGTTCCAAACATTTTTAGTATCCCAAAAGGAGACTGTGTAACCATTAAGCACATAGATTGGCCAAGCTTGGCAACAGTAGTGAGGTTGGCCCAGGTCGTTCTGCTGTGCATAAGGTCGCTGAGTCTGTACCAACTCGATGGCACCTAACAACAACAACAATAACCCACACCTGTCTCTCCCCAGCCCCTGGCACCCAGAAATATGATTTCTGTCTCTGAGTTTGACTATTCTGGATTTCTTTTTTGCTTTCTCCTCTCTCCCCATTTTAATTTTTTTAATTATTGTGGTAAAATATATAGCAAACTTTGTTATGTTAACTATTATTAATAATGCTGCTATTATTGTCACTGTGTTGGTTCCGACGCATAACGACCCTGTTTAGGGTTCCCAAGGAACGGCTGGTGAGTTTGAACTGCCAACCTTGTAGTTCAAACCGACCTTTCAGTCCATTCAGCAATTCAATGGCATTAATTACAGTCACAATGTTGTACAATCTCATCACTATCTCCTCCCAGTACTTTTTTCTATTTAAATTACATTAATCATTGCATTGGTGGCTCAATGGCAAAAATTTCCCCTTCCATGAAGGAGCCTCTGGTTCTATTTCCCACCACTGCACCTTCTTGCAGTCTCAGCCACCACCTGTCCCTCAGTAGAGGCTTGTGTGTTGCTAAGATGATAAACAGGTTTCAGTAGAACTTTCAAACTAAAATGGACTAGGAATAAAGGCCTGGCAATCGACTTCTGAAAATTAGCCAATGAGAACCATAGGAATCACAATGGCCCCATCAGCAACCAGTCATGGTTATAGGACCAGGCGGCATTTCCTTCCACTTGTGAAGTGGGAGCTCCAAAAGGCAAATAACAGCAGCAAAAACACATTAATCATGACGTGGGACCATCACCCACATCCATTCTCAACTTTCCATCACCATTAACAGATAGATACTCAAGGCTTCCAAAACAACAGATTCCTCCTTTCCCCCTCCACCCCAGGTAACCACAAAAAAACTTTGGTGTCTATATATTTGCCTGTTACTATTCTGGATATTTCATGGTAACCACAAAAAACTTTGGTGTCTATATATTTGCCTGTTACTATTCTGGATATTTCATGTAAATGGAATCATATATTACGTAATCTTTTTGTGTCTGGCTTCTTTCACTTATCATAATGTTTTCAAGATTGATCCAAGAATGTATTAGCAATTTTTTTTTAATTGATGAATGATATTCCATTAATGTACCTCCACACTTCCGCTAGTTTGTTAGGCTGTGGTGGCTTGTGTGTTACTGCGATGCTGGAAACTATGCCACTGGTGTTTCAAATACTATCTGGGTCATCCATGGTGAAAGATTTCAGCGGAGACAGCAGAATGAACAAATTTGTCTTAGAAGAAGTACAGCCAGGAATGCTCCTTAGAAGTTAAGACGATAAGACTGTCTCACATACTTTGAACAGAAGGGACCAGTCCCTAGAAAAGGATATCATGCTTGGAAAAGTAAGTAAGGGTCAGTGAAAAAGAGGAAGCCCCAACCCCCACTCCACCCCCACAATGGGATAGATTAACACAGTGCTGCAACAATGGGCTCCAGCAATAATTTTAAGGATAGCACAGGACCAGGCAGTGTTTCCTCCTATTGTGCTTAGAGTAACTATGAGTCAGAGCCCACTCAATGGCACTTGACAACAAGACATGTATGTACCATACCTTCTTTATTCATTGATTCACTCCTGGGCATTTTGGTGGTCCTACCGTTTTGCTATTGTGAAACCGTGCTGCTGGGAACATTCACGTACCTGTATTTGAATCGCTCTTTTCAATTATTTTGACTATATACCTCCGAGTATGTTGTTATTGTTAGGTGCCATTGAGTCAGTACCGACTCATAGAGACCCTATGCACAACAGAACAAAACATACCTGGTCCCAGGCCAAAAGTCAAAGGTCTTGTGCAGTAGATTTGCCTAATGCAACACATCGTTTGGTTTCTTGGCTGCTGCTTCCATGAGTGTTGATGGTTGATCCAAGAAGAATGAAGGCCTTGACAACTTCAATCTTTTCTGCATTGATAAGAATATTGTTTATTGGTCCAGTGGTGAGGATTTTTGTTTTCTTTCCACTGAGATGCAATCCATACTGAAGGCTATGATCTTTGATCAGTAAATGTTTTAAGTCCTCTTCCTTTCAGCAAGCAAGGTTGTATCATCTGCATATCACAGGGTGTTAATGAGTCTTCCTCCAATCCTGATGTCATATTTCTCTTCTTATAACCCAGCTTCTCAGATTATTTGTTCAGCATACAGGTTGAATAAATATGGTGAAAAAATACAACCCTGTCGCACAGTATGGTAAATCTGTTTAACTTTTTGAGGAATCTTGAAACTGTTTTCCACACTGGTCAAACCGTTTTACATTTCTGCCAGAAATGAATGAGGGTTCTGGTTTCTCCATATCCTCAACAATACTTGTTATTTTTCATTGTTGTTTTTTTATTGCCATCCAAGTGCCTAGGTGGACTTGCATTACTCAGCACAATCCTCCACTAGACACCCAGCCTAAGAAACCATCAAGAAACAGCAGTATTTGAGAACTAGAACAGTTTCTGGAACTGGAATGGCACTTAAAAATCATCTGAAACATACTAAACTACTATCACTAGGTAGTAGGCTTACAAGTGAATACTGGACTATTTATTTCCATTCTTCTGCTTTTGTGGTTTTCTGTGTTTTCTGCAATGAGCATTTAAAAAATATATTCTCACAGGCATTTCTCCTTCTGTGTAAGTCACACAAACCAAGGTTTGTATTTTTCAAGTATGATTTTTTTTTAATTACTACTGCTACTTCATAGAAAGCAGAAAAAGGTATTTTTATCATCATAAACCAGTCATTTCATCTAAAAGAGAAAATGACTTGAACAGAGGCTATATAAACTTCATGAAAATGGAGACTGCAATTATCTTGGTCACATTTGTTGTTTAGATAAAGGAGGGTCAAAGGCAAAGCCTTCCTTAGATTTCAAGTTAGGTACTTCTGGTGTGGCACTGTAGGATCAGCACTGGACTAAAAACCACAGTGTCAGCTCTTCAAATTTACCAGTTGCTCCTCAAAAACCCTATACAGGTTTGCTAAGAGTCAGAATCGACTCAAAGGCATTTAACAACAGCAACAACTTTCCCCTTAATTGCATCACATTGTCAAAACTCCAGCTATCAAATCCATTCAACAACATTCCTCAATATTAATTCAGTGCCCACTTGAACTAGGCCCTGATAAGTTCAGAAAGCAAAAAGTGCAAAGGAGAGAAACAAAGAGGAAGAGAGAAACAGAAGTGAGAAAGTAGCAAAGAGATGTGCTGGAATTAGGTACTTGGCTGCTAACCAAGAGGTGTGCGGTTCCAACTCACCAGCTGCTCCATGAGAGAAAAATGTAGCAGTCTGCTTCCCTCAAGATTGCAGACATGGAAACCCCATGGGCGGCTCTATTCTGCCCTATAGACTCGCTATGAGTCGAAATTGACTCCATTGGCAATCGGTTGGGTTTTTTCCCCCTAGGGATGGAATCCTGGTGTGGCGCTGTAGGATGAACACTGGACTGTTAACCTGAAGGTTGGCTGTTCAAACCCACCAGTTTCTCCTTGGAAACCCTATACAGGCTCTCTATGAGTCGGAATCGACATGAAGGCACTTAAAAACAAACAACAAGGGATGGTCAAAGGAGTCCTAGGAGCGTAGTGAGTTACTAGGGGCTTACTAACCACAATATCAGACGGACTCCACCAGTCTCTTAACCAGAGAAAGATAAGGCTTTGGGCTCAGAAACCGTATACAGGGTTGGCACACCGCAGCAGCAGCAGCAGGGATGATCAGGGCAAGCTTCTCTGAGAACGTGACATTTAAGCTAAGACTTGAGAGAGCGAAATACAATGTAACAAAAAAGCTTTAACACCTCGTAAGAAATGAATCTGCACGTCCATTACAGCCCTAATCATCTATGTCCGGGTCTGTTAGGCACCACATACTGGACGTAGCTCTCTAACCCTTATTGATGCAAGGATGCCAGGTCGGAGGTTTACCCGTCTTATTGATGTGAGGCAGGGATTTGGAGTTTTTAAATAATAATAACTCTAGGATGGAATCGTAGAATTCTGATTAGTTCAAGGGCCTAAATCGGTTTCTAACACTCACTTTCCCCCTAACTCTCCACCCCTCCGTATCTATTATTTAGGCCTTCCGCCGCAGAAGCCTTGCTAGGGGTTGGCTAAGAATAACCCCGCCTTTCGCTCAGGATTTGCTGCTAACAACAAGAACACCTCCTCCTCCCCCTCATGATTCGCTAGTCCTATATGTGTCCCGCCCCTTCACCTAAAATATTGGCTGATTGGCCGTCAGCGCCATTGGAGCCTACTGGACAACTGCAACACCAGTAACTAGCTAGGTGCAGCACTGGCAACAATGGCAGTCACTGCGTTGGCGACGCGGGTAAGGCTCTGCGTGTTGGGAGTGAGAGCCATGCAAGCCCGAGGCTTCAGCTCGAACCAGGTACGCCAGCGGCAGTGCCCGCTGCCCCATCCCCGAGCGCGGCCCCAGCCTTCCTCTAGGCATCTTTACCACTGCCCCTGTCTCTCTCTCCCCCCTCCCCCACCCGCAGTCGGAGGATCTCGATAGGGGCGCAGGCTCAGTCCGGGAAGCCGGTGGGGCCTTCGGAAAGAGAGAGGCTGCAGAAGAGGAGCGATACTTCCGGTGAGGCCCTGGGGTGAGGCCCTGGGGTTCCAAGTCCAACCCTAGACTTCTCTGGGCCTCCCAATCCATTTTAAACATTCAACTGCCCCACCCATCCCCTCCTGGTGCCCTGAGGCGCCCCAGCCCCAGACAGTACTCGCGGTCCCCTGAACCAATAACACCCCAACACTTAAGGTCCCTACTGTTGCCACCTATAAGGTGCCCCCAGCCCCTACCATACAGTCCCTGAGCCTCCAAAACCTTGCCATCTACACCTCAGGTCTCCGAAACTCCCTACCCACGGCAGAGGTCCCCTGTATCCTTTGCCATCCCCACCTGAGAAGTTCTCCCTGGGTTGTGTGAAGCACCCTCAAGATTCTTGGCAGTGTTTAATTCCTACCTTTCACTACTTGCCTATTCTTAGAACTTGATTTCCTTGCCCCTCGCTCTCCCATCACCCTCACCCCACCTCGCTCGCTCTCTTTTACGCCTTAGCTTTGTAAGTCCATTTTGGATTCCCTGGCTCTTCAGATTTTCTGAACCCTTTCTAGACCCACGCATCTCCAACTTCACCACACTGTATAGATCTTAGTAGCTGGGGGCACCTTTATGTAGTCGGATACCACCCCCTTCTGGAGACTTGAGTAGCCCTGCCTGGATTAGACCCTGAACTTTAGATTTTCGTCTTCCGTTTAGGAATAGGAAGTAGGTTGGGCTTATCCCTTTCCCAGCCCTAAATTATCTTTAACTGACGTTCATCCTCTATGCTGGGGAGGAGCAAGGAACTAATCTTATTTTTACCATCTCCTTTGCTGTTTATCTGTTCACTTCTGCCCTCTGGCTTAGTCTTGAGAATTATCACCATGACATCTGCCATACTAGCAGGGCAAGATGCCTTTGAGAGGGCTCCTGGCGACGTTGTGTATAACACAAGGAAATATTTCCAGTCCTGTGACATTTCCATGATCTTTGATACATTTGAGCCCATTGTTATATACTGCCCTTAGAGATTATCTAATTGGGCCCCTACTATTTTTTTAAGTGAGGAAAATTAAGACCTAAAAGTGACCAAACCAAGATTAAGGCCTAGATTGGACTGCCCATTGCTCCCATGCAAGAGAATCCTAAAGGCTTCATTTTTTCCTGTCTTTTGGGCCTTCACAATGAGCCATGTTTCTCTAGAGAGCCCTCCCACCGGGCTGTTTTCTCTGATAAGATATTGAAAACTTAATGTCACATCTCTCTGGAATTTTCTAATCTGAAAGGAATAACTTTCTAATGGTAGGATTTCAGCCATTAGCACCAGGAAAATGGAATCATTTGGTTATTTTCTTAAGATGGAGTTTTCTTCCACTAGTGGGGAAGGGAAAAAAGAGGATGATGACCAGCCAGACTCCCAGGGGACCTGTTTTATTTCTCTTCAGTATTTGTGGTTATGCTTAAAGAGCTCTTTGAGTTGAAGGTTAGCAATTAAACCCAGAGGCACTGTGTTTTGTAGAGCACAGGCTAGACAACAACTGGAAGCCCTGAAGAAGCACCATGAAGACGAGATCATTCATTCTAAGAAGGAGATTGAGCGTCTGCAAAAAGAAATTGAACGGCACAAGCAGAGAATAAAGAAACTGAAAAATGATGATTAAATGCACACTGTTTCCCAAAGAATGGCTATGTAATCATAATCATTGTCCACTCCTAGTAGACACAATTCTGCTTTAATTAACACTGATCTGTGTGCTATGAAGAAATTATAATAAATTCTCATCAGTGAACTGTGTTGATGCCTTTTACTATCTGGGGAACAGATACTACTGGTCTACTAAAAATGAATAGACAAGGTCCCTGGTGCAAAGAGTTCACAGACAAAGCACTGGTAAACATGAAGGAGGGGGTGTGACAAAGCTTGCCTCTGCCCAATCCATTTCAAAATATCAGAGAAAGAGATCAGGAGTAGTCTAAAAGACAGAGGGGTCTTTTGAAAAGTTATAATTCAGGGGACCATCCGTAATAACACCATTTTGAAATTATAAAATGATTTAGAGAGCTCTTCATATGACCTGATGAATTCGGTGTCCATGTTCTAAATGTGCATGTTGAAAGAACTAAAGTTAGAAATCATGTATGAGGGGACTTCAAACAGTTCATGGAAAAATTCTTTCTATTCCATTTTTCCATGAACTGTAGTCATTTAGTACATTGGAGTTGAGATTTACTCACTGGACCTAATTGTTCAGGACTGTAGTCTTAAGGAATACCAAGGTCAATTGGCACAAGATAGTCTACAAAAACCATTTTTCTGTATCCTACTTGGGTAAGTTGTATCTTCAAAGCTTGTCATTGGCCATCTAAGGTACAACTATTAGTCTCTCCCTGTCTGGAGGAAACACAAGTGAAGAAAATCTAAGATGCATGCAAAGAATCTAATTAATGGAACATGTGAACATTAGCTTCCATGACCCTGAGACCAGGACTAGATGGTTCCCTGCTACCACTACTAATTGCTCTGAAAGGGATCACATTAGAAGGTCTTGTTTGTTGTTACATGCCATTGAGTCGGAGTTGGAGAAAAATGTGGAACAAAACTTAAAATCAAAGACGACCAGGATTACTGGTCTGTAGAGATTGGCAGAACCCCAAGACTATGACTCTTAGCCACCCTTCAGGTCTGGAAATGAGCTTACCCCTATGGCTCAATTTCAGGTCTATAAGGGACTAGGAATACTTGGCAGGTATGCACTTAGAATAATCACCATTTGAGGCTAAAAGGGCAGAATTTACCCAAGGACAAAGTTCAGAAGGGTTAATAAAGCAGGAATGGAAACAATACTGGGAGGTAATAAGATTAGTGATACTATATTATAAGAATTGCAATCAAGGACATGAATCAAAATGTATGAATCATTGAATGGAAAATTGATCTGTTAAGGCCTGGTTTAAATAGGGCAGGGGGAGACCCTTGCATTTTCAATTCATCAACTCAGTCACTTGCCTCAGATTTGTGATGACCCTACTATTTGTTGTTTTATGCCTTCGAGTCTATTCTGACTCGGTGAACCAATGTGACAGTCAAACTGCCCCCCAAGATTTTCTAGGCTGAAGTCCTCATGTGGCACTGTAGGATAAGCACTCAAACCCACCAACCACTCCTCGGAAACCAGATTCATCGTCTCATGAGGCAAAACTGACTCCATGGCACTTTACAGCTACAACAAAATCTTTACAGGAACAGATTGCCAAGTCTTTTCTCCCATGGAGCACCTGGATTAGGCTCAAAAGGCCAACCTTTAGGTTAGCAGCCTAGCATTAACCACCAAGCAAATTGTACTCCTAGGTATTTTCAGACATAAGTCACTAGCTCTTTATTCCAAGGTCCTTCCAGGTGGGTTCAAAGTGCCAACCTTTCAATGAATAGTTTAGCACTTAACCATTTCCACCACCCAGGGACTACTTTATTGGGCATAGGACACTTATAAAGGCAGATTACTGAGGATCATCTGAATAACTTTATGCATGTTCAATATCATTCTTAATATGAATGCTATTTCAGAATTTTAAAATAACACATTAAGAATGTGTTGAAATATAAAACACATACACATTGACATGTAAGAACATAATATTCCCTAGAATATATTTTGGCAAATTCTCCACTGGCTTACTGTGTTACTTAAAGTCTTTTTTGTTTACAAGTAACAGAAACCAGCAGTCTCTGGTTTAAGGGGGAAGAAACATAGTAATTTACTAGAAGAATAGGTGCTATTTTCTCACAGATACTCAAGAAGATTTAAAACAAGGCAAAGACTGAACTGCAGAAGCAGAGCTGTCTAAGCAGCTTCCTATCTACCTTAGTTATTTAGCACTACTATAATACATAGATGGCTTTAATGGACAAAAATTTTATTCTCTCAGTTTAGGAGGCTAGAGGTCAGAAATCAGTTTAGAAAGGATAAAAGTACAGTACTAGCCTTGACATTCTGTCAGCTCTGGGAAAAGACCCTTGTCTTCTTTCAGCATCGCTATGCTCACCATTCCTTGGTGAGCTCCATGTGTCTTGACATCACTCTTTCCCTGGATCTAGCAGGCTTCACTGTGCCGGGGTCCCAGGTCCAAAGGACACACTCTACTCCTTCTATCCTGGAAGTAGTAGATCCCTCCTTCTCTGCTCAATTCTCTCTCCTTTTATCTCTTGTAAAATAAAAAGTGTTGCAGACCACACCCCAAGGAAATTTTATTTCAATTTCTGCCCATAACAGATCTCATTATGGAAATGATCATATTATATTAGATGGCATCATGGGGGATTACCATGTATTAACTGCTAAATGGCTGAGAATCATGGCTCAGTCAAGGTGACACAAAATCTTAACAATCACACCCTCTGTGTCAGAATCATTTATTTAGATTTCCATGGAATTTTACACAATAAAATTATTTACAAATTGCACTTATGGAGTACTTTGCAATTATTCATTCATATAATTTCATGATGATTCTGAATCAGGTCTAGATCATAAGTTTAATTTTATAACCACGGCAACTGAAGCAGGGTATTGATAGTAACTTTCCCAAGGTCACACAACTAGGCTTGTGCTGAACAAGAACTTGACTTCAGAGCCCTTGCTCTCGCAAACTTCAATTGTAGTTCCTTAGGGTAGTTTGGTTGGCTCTTAGCTCCCTCAATATGGGACAAGTAGGGGGGCATGCCTGGACATCTGAGGATGTATAGTAAAGTAGAAGTCAATCTAGAAGTGCCAATGGTTGGCAATGGCATTAGCATTTTGGCTGTGACATATTTCCCCATCAGCATGTCTGTGCATGTCTCTGTTATGCAAACATGTGTCTGCAGTAGAACCTACTTTATGATTTTTACCGTAAGTCTATTTAGCTGTAGTTCTCAACCCAGGCTGCACATTGAAATACCTGGGAAGCTTTAAAAAACAAATGGTTCAAGACCAATCAAATCCAAACCTATGAGATTGGGACCTGGACATGATTATTTCAAAAAGCTATCCAGGGTTTTCCAAAATGTGCACAAAGTTGAGAATCACTGGTATAAATCCCTTCAGGTCTGCTGCAGATGGTTGGGGAGGTTGTTCACTGCATAAAACACCTGAATGAAACAACAAGTGAGGACTGAAATTCAGACCACACTCTGCTCACCAACCAGTAGGTCCTCGTTTGAGGGTAACATCTGTTCTCAAAAAGAATCATCTTTTGTCTAATTCCCACAAAGAGGGCACTGACTCATTCCCCTATTCTTGTATTCTATGTGTTCCATTTTCATATACTATGTGTTCCATTTTCAGTGAATTTGGTCATACACGCATGTAATGATTACATTTCATGAGGACTTCTGGCAAGATGGTGGATTAGGTAGATGTACTACACAGACCTTCTACAGCAAAGATACGAGACACCAAATGAAATAGACAGATGAAAATTGTAGAACCCTGAACTTCAGAGGAAAGTCAGAGAAGTGGACTAAGTGTTTTCTGGGAAAAGAAGCTGAGCAAGGACACCAAGAGAGGGAGACTGACTGGTGAATGACAAGCCAAGCATGGTGCAATTATCTTGAACTTTTGCAAGCAGATTTGGTGACAGAAAGTGGCCTGGCAAAGCAGATTAACTTAAGTAATGGGAAAGGTGTGATTCCTTCTTTTTTCCCATGCTCTCCTAGTGATCTGAGATGAGACCAGCCCCCACCCTCATCTACCTATAGCACATACCCTGCTCTTTGGGAATTCAGAGCCATGTGGTTGTGAGCCACACAAGTGTGAGTCGGGAGCCAGCAGCACTGGTTTGGTAGCTGGGTTCAGGCAGGCTTGGCTCCAGACCTACAGAACCAGCAGGACCACTAGACCAGCATTAGTCTAGCAGAAACCCTCATAACCCAACACCCTGACCCGAGATGACCTGTGATCTAACAGACACTGAAACCAGCTCCATCGAGGGCCTCCACTAACTACTTCCAGATTCAGTGCCCTGAACATAGTTCCTAGGTCTATAGAACTCCATCTAGAGTCAGGAACTCCACTGTCACATCCCTTCTGCACCCACCTCATGAACCCCCTGGCTGGCAGGAGCCCCCCTTTTCTTCTCTTTGGATCCAACAGCTACACTGTTTGTACAGCGGGGGAGGTGTTGTATTTTTCCTCTTATTGCATCATTTTTGTTTATTCTTTCTTCTCCTTTTTTCCTTTCCCTTCCTATAAATTTTATCCTTTCTATTTTTCCATTTTAACTTTTCCTTCTTTAATCTGTTTCTTACTACCCCTCTTCTATTTTTTTCCTTTTGATTTTTCTTTACTACTTTCTACTCTCTTTCTCTTTCCATTTTCCCTCTCCCTAGTTTTATTGTTTGTTTTTTTATTTCTTCCTTTCATTTTCTCTTATTTTTCTCTTCTATGGTGCCATTTTCCTGTATCTCTTATCTCTTTTTAATTGTAATTTTTGTTTGTTTGTTTGTTTGCTACCTGTTTTCATTATTTTTTTCTCCTTTATTATTTTCTATTTTCATTGTTGATACTCATTGTTTATTCAGTTTTGTTTTCTTGTGTATGTGTGTGAGGGGGAAGGGGTTCTCCTCTTCCCCACTTGACAAGAGACAGCAACTGTGCCCATACATACCAGGTACAACTGTACC